CATGTGGAGAAGGGTTTATAAAGATGGGTAAGAAAACCATGAGGACTTCAAGGAGACACGAGGAGGCCAGCTAGGTGAGCTGCTTGCTATTCAGCCTGTCAGGGAAGCATCTTGAATTCTTTTTTTTTTCTTTTTTTTTATTTATTAAAAATTTCCACCTCCTCCCCTCCTGCCATTTCCCTCCTACTCCAGTCAGAAGATCTGAGCATCTTCAATTCTTTAGCAGAGATTTAAATAAGTTCTCTTAGTAGTTTTGAAAGAGTCGGTGCCTGAGGGAACAGAATTTCTTCAGGCTGCAGCTCTTGCTTGTGTCCTAGCTGCTGCTGATAGTGGTGGAGTTGCAGCTGCTGACTAGGATAGCTGAAGTTTAAAAGACAAGTTAAAAAGAGGACAATAATTGGTACCAACACGGGGTACCAAAATATTGCATAATGTTTTATGATTTTGTCTTTTGGGGGAACCCACCACTCAAATCGCAAATAAATCATACACAAAGGCTTATTCTTGTGAATGCCCAGCCTTACTTTGGCTAGTTTCTTGCCAACTTTTCTTATCTTAAATTAAGTCAACTACCTTTTGCCTCTGGGCTTTTATCTTTCTTACTTCTATACATCTTACTTTACTTCTTTCTCTGTGGCTGGCTTTGTAGCTGGGTGGCTGGCCACTGATGTCCTCTCCTTTTTGTCTCACTGTTCCTCTTTTTCATCCTTATTTCTTTTTTAACTCTCCGCCTGCTAGCTCTGCCTAGCCTTACTCCTGCCTCACTACTCTTAGGACCATCAGCTGTTTTAGACAGGCAAAGAATCACAGCTTTACAGAGTTAAACAAATGTAGCATAAACAAAAGTCACACACCTAAAAATAATATTCCCCAATACTGGCCACAAAGCATGATGACCAGAGTTCAAGTCCAAGGCCCTGAAAGTTGTCTTCCGACCTCCACACATTCACCAAGGGAAACACACATAACCATTCTCATTCTGTCTGTCTCTTCTCTCTCTCTTTCTCTCTCTCAACAGATGAATAAGTTTAATAATTTTTTACCTGTTTGAATACAATAAAGTATTTCTGGGGCTGGGGAGGTGGATCCGCAGTCAAGAGCACTGATGCTCTTTCAGACAATCTAGATTTCATTTCTAGTGCCCACAGTGGCTAACAAGCAACAACCATCTGTAACTTCCATTCCAAGAGATCTACTGCCCTCTTCTGGCCTCTAAAGGTACCAGGCACACATGTGGTACACAGATATACACGCAGATAAAACACCATCACACATAAGATAAATAATAAGATCAATACTCTTGAAGAGAAAGCAGATGTGCACCCCTGTAATCCTAGTACCTGGGAGCCTGAGGCCCAGAGGATCACAAATTTTGGTGCACCCTGAGCTAAACAGCAAGTTCCAAACTATTCTGGTTTATTTGACAATGCTATGTCAAAAAATAAAAAAGAATAAAAAAAGCAAAAATGATTTTCCAGTTCTATGCTGTAACTTATTTAACATGAAGCCAATACAGCGGAAGACAGGGCTGGAGCTTTACAGCAGTGTTGAATTCACCTGTGGAACGCATGGTACATGAGCATCATTCATGTACCCTCGTGTAAATAAAACTGACAGCACAGGGTGACCATGATGCAGAAACAGAATGAAACACAGAGCTGTCTCACTCAAGCAAGGCTTTTCTACTGTGCATTCCACAACTAACATCAAAAGCAAATGTGGGTGCACAGAGCAATGAGAATATTATTCTTTAACTGGACACAAAAGAGGTCAGAAGATTAGAGGAGCAGGTACAGTTGAATCAGAAATTACAGACTAAACAGCAGTTTGCCTATAGCTGGACAACATTTGGGTGCTGCAGCAACAAAAGCTTTATTCATGCAACTGTTGCTTTTCCTAAGACTACAGATAATAAAGACCAATCATCTAACATTAGTCTGGGGAGATTCTCAAACAAATCACCAAAAAGAGAGCAAAAGAAGGTTTTACTAAGAACAAGCTCTAAACAGCCTTGATGCCCCAATAATGGAGGACGTAGGATCACAAGCATTAGGGACTGAGAAAGACAATAGTGGTAAGCTGTCTGGAATCCAGATCCTCTCACAGTCTCAAGTGATGTGCACATACAAGACCAGCAAGATAATGGGAGCAATGGTAGTAATACAAGGAAAATGTATAGATTAGAAGTGTGGTGTATATTTACTCTAAGAGTCTGAAATGCCTATCCTTCAGGAATTTTAGAGCCTTCAGAAAATGTCTTGAATTGTTTCCCAAACTTGAGATTCCTGAACAACAGAAGCAACAGTTATAAATAAGAACAATAGCACAGTAAACAAACTGTTCCTGTGGCTTTGAGTAGTTAGGAAAATGACACAGGAGGGGAGCACACGGAGCTCCCACTTCCCCCAGGGGCAGCCACAGTCTCCAGAGTCTCTGCCTTTCACTGCTCAGTGTGTGCTCCTGACAGAACATACTTCTAAAGGTGGTTGGTGTTGTTTTCCTTTTCAGAACTTATTTGTTTAAGACACTTAGAAGGATAGAGATCTAAATAATAAGAAATTTTATTATTAAGTCCTAGTAAATAACACACAAATTCCTTATTTTACTCATTTTTCTGAAAAAATACAAGTACATGTTTAATTTTAATAACTCATTCACTAAATGGGACACTAATAAGCTATCATTTACTGAAGACTAAATTAACAGAGTAGATGGAAAACAACTTTAAATTAAAATTGGAACATTTTCCCAGTTTTTTTTCTTCTTAAAAACATTCACCCTCTAAATGAGAACTATGTGGGTTCCCTCTGAATTTTAAGGCAAGGTTGCCATCTTGTGGCTCACGTTGGTATCGCTGAGGCTCTGAGCCAGTCACTTCACCTTGTGAAACTAAAGCCTTCAATCAGTTGAGCATTTTAAAAGGCATATGCAGCTGTCAGCAGGAGGACTACAAGTTAAAAAGAACTAACTCCAGAACTGAACTGTTGGGTAACAATTTCCTACAAGTTGAAACATCCTATCCTGGAGGAAGACTCAGGAGACTCAGAGGAAACCACCTTACAAGGCCCTCAGAGCTGAAACTTAAGATTGATGATGCTGGTCCCCAAAGCTACGGAGGCCAATATGAGTCTTCTCTGCTCTGAATGGTGAGTCCCAATGCTTGGAGAAGATTCTGCCTGCTGAGCCACCTGCAGGCCATGCAGAGAGCATCTTTACCCCTGTTGGGTAGTCAACACCTGCTCCTGCAAGCAAGCCCCCTCCCATACCTCTCTCAGTAACTCATTGGACATTTGGTGTAATCGCTGCTTTGGTTGGTTGTTGGTTCCC